TCTTGAGCTGCAAATCAGCATATTAGAATTATTTCTGAAGGATCATGTGACATTGAAGACTGGAGAAATGATTCTGAAAATTCAGCTTAGCATCACAGAAGTAAATAAAATGTTAAACTGTATTAAAATATATAAAATATATAAATGGTAAGATTAAATTATAAATATATAAATAAATAAAATATATAAATATAAAAGTTATTGCATTATATATTATAATAATATTTCATATTACAGTTTTACTGCATTTTTTATAAACAAAAAATGCAGCTTAAAAAAAAAACTTGCCAACCTTAAACTTTTGAATGGCAGTGTAAATAAAATTTAATTTCAGTATGCAATAGTAATATATTTCTTGTCATAACAGCTTTACTTTCAAATAGCATTCTTAAATTTGGTTAGAAGGGCCTTTTATGAGACCCTTTTTCTGTGTTTCAGTATTGGTTTTGTGTAATACTGTAACTCGTAACTGCCAAAAACATTTGGAATGTGAAAATATTGTGAACCTGAATTGCTTTGCATTCACAATGCACTTTGTAAAAAATAAATCAATAAATACATACATTTTCTCTGAGACTCCTGAAAACACTGAAAACACTGAATCATGAGGCCCACACTGAGCGTATTTAATGATTAATAATCACACAATTGTTTTAATTATGTAATTGTGCTACCCTAAACTGTTTGATTACCATATTGTCAGACAACAAAACTGTTAATCTAGGATCATGCTCTACTCAGTTAAATCATGCTGTGTGACTGTAGATGCTGTAACATACTGAATGGTTCATTAGGTTTAAGAGCAGTGTTTAAGGAGCATTTGCGCTCTTCTACTGCCATATTAAAGTGCATATAATCCATCGGTAAAGGAAATGTAGCATATAGCCTGTCACTATAGGTAAAATCCTGTTCTTGCCTAGTCTGTATCCTGATTGATGTAGTTAACTCATGGTGCATGTGTTTCTCTTTATTTCAGAGATCAGCAGGGTACGAAAGGACATGTACAATGACACTTTAAACGGCAGCACGGAGAAGAGATGCTCCGAGCTCCCGGACGCCGTCGGCCCCATCGTTCAGCTCCAAGAGAAACTCTATGTGCCTGTTAAAGAATATCCTGACGTGAGTCTCAAACCTAAAACCCGTTCACACTGCACATTCACTTTGAGTTCCATCACAATGTTTTAAATAATTAAAGCCATTTTTGCGAGTGCACGTGGGTTTGTTTGTTTCATTAAATTAAAAATTCAATTACAAATGATTAAAAATGCGTTCCAAGAACCTTACCGTCACACGATCTAGTCTTGGGCAGTAGTTGAAGGTCAGTTAAAAATTATTTGAGGTAAATGTTTGCATACACACACAAGCTCTTTACTGAAGCTCAATGAGTAAATGGAATAGTAAATAACTGTGTGCAGCTGCTCAGTATGGCCTTATTTAATTACAGAGACATACAAGTCAATGTAATCTAGTTTTCCTTGCATTAGGGCATGGGCCCACGTCCAGTATATTGATTTCATTAAGACGTACTGAAGAAGTGAGGTTGAGTCCATTTTATGAGTCCATTTAATTTATTGTGTTATTAAGCTGATGGTTTGTGGTCAACTGTCGTTGTGCGTCTGAGCAGTATAAATTCACTGTACATCTGAGCAGTTTTTTTTTCTTAGTCTAATGTTCTTAAAGTGTCACCACCAAGATTACATTTTTCAACATAATTTATTACTAAGGGATAGTTCCCCCAAAAGTTCAAATTCAGTCATTTACTCACCTTCATGAAAAATTACTTTTCCTCGTCCCATTAAAAAATTATATCCTGGTGTGTTTCCATGTAATGAAAGAGAACAGGGACAAATTTGGTACCATTACGCATCATGTCAGGTTTCATTTTTAGGTTGTATGTGTCTCTTGATTGAAAGACGTCAAACATGACATTATGCGTCTAATTCTGCTATTTGATTTGAGCAAACAGAGGGGAAGCTTTTTATTTAGTGATGTCTTAAATTTAGTCTGTTTTTCACACAAAGCAATTGCATAGATTCAGAAGACTATACTGCATAAGTCGTAGAGACTGAATTTATGGTGCTTTTTGGTCATTTTGGAGCTAAGAAGTGTGATTAATTGTACTGAATGTGCACTTGTAGTGTACTTCAAATCTTAAAAGAACATTTTTAAAACTGTACTTGCAGATAATATAAAATGAAACAAAATTTTCATTTTTACGTGAACTGTTAAATTAAATACAGCAGTTCCCCTGCATACAGTATATTTTTCTGAAAGTGGTATCCTACCCCCTGTCGCTCTCTTTGAGTCTTTGCACATCTCTAGTAACAGGGGTGACATTGAATTCTCCCTTGCTTTTTCAGTTTGTGTTGAGTCAGAGCCGCTCAACCGCATCACCACCAACCCGGTCGGTGGTTAACAAATCATTCAAGCAGTTGCCATCAGATCCTGCTTGCCTAAGGCGTCCGACTCTGGGGAAACGGTCGAGTTCCGAGCTGATTGATCCCAATTAACTTATTCCGTCCCAGCTTGATTCCTGCATGGCCAGCATTAATTGAGTCTCTCCAGCAGGGGCGTAAATACTGTTTGGGATTAGAGCCCTCCATTTTGCTGAAGTTTTATGGTTTGAGGGGCTGTTTATGCGCCTGTATTTCCCATGGGAGAGGGCCACGCTGTTTAACAACGCTGATGCAGTGGTGCTTGCATGTTTTTTGACTAATTCTTGCTTCAACCTATAGTGTTGTTAACGTGGCTTGTCTGATACATAAAATGCACACAATGAGACTGGATAAGAGGATATATTTGAAAGTCATCGAAAGTCATGCTTAGCATCAATAATATTAATATTTTATTGTTTCTTGTGCATAATACTGGAACTTTATAAAAAGCTCATTTCATTTTATATTCAATTACAACTCCAGTTTTCAAGGGTATGACGCTTTCTGTCTGCAGTTGTTGAAGCATTGTGGGTAATTTAGCTCCTGCTCTTAAAAGTCTGAGAGTTAGCCAGCACTGCAGTAAAGGCTATCGTGTGTGTGTGTGTGTGTGTGTGAAGGTTCTGGCCGCCCTTGCTGGTCTGAAGGACACCCAGGATCATTATTAGTGAGTTTGGGTTCATTAGGAGGTGAAGGATGAGCAATAAAAGAGATGCCCAATGGAGTCAATGGAGTCCTCTATATTCATAGAGACTAGAACTCATCTTATCCACCTTTTTCCTGAACGCGGAAGTCTCGCCGGACTGAAATGATGCTTTACATTTCTGGTCTCTGGTGTTTCTAATCAAATTAACGTATTTTCTGATCTGATAATATAACGTTAAACCTATGAAAATGGTTTTAAAAAGCACATGGCGCCATAGTTTCGCAATGACTGTCTTTTTGCAGTAACTCAGCTGTCATAGTTTAATGAGTGGGAAGATGACATGAAGTTAGCTGACATGAAGCTGATTGATGACATGAAGTTAGACAAGGTTAGCTGCATTGAAAACGGATGAGAGCACATATACAGCTCCCAATCGGGGCGAAGTTTGCAGGATTTTGTCTACAAAATGATAAAAGCACACATTATTTTAACACATTATTTTATTATTTCGCATACAGTATTTTAACTTAAGTGCTGTCATCGTTTATGCAAGTCTTACAGCGCCGGCTGGACAGATTTGCTGGTACGCAAAACAAGTACTTTACAGGAATTCCTTAAGCATATTGTTGCTACTGTGGCAGGTAACAACAGCACAGCTTAAACCTGCGCACATTTTTATATTTAGTTATAGTGAAAAAGTTTCAGTTAAATTAATTCAGTCAATCTTTTTTACCCCAGTTTAACATGGATTTCTATGGAGACCAGAACACAAGAGCACCCAAACGGAATAATAATTTTAAAAAAGAGATAAAATAGCCTATTTTAAATTATCTGAACAGGATTTTGTTGTTGTTGTTGTTGATGTAAAGTGTAATTTCTGCACCTTTAGTGTCACTACACAAAATTAAAGTAAATAAAGACTGTTGAAAAGGTTCTTTATCTGCATCGATGGTTCCATGAAGAACCTTTAAAATTCATGGAACATTTTCACTAGAAAACTTTAGATTATTAAAATGTTCTTTACACCAAGAAAAACCTGGTTCTTCGAAGAACTGAAAGGTTCTGTGGGGAGACCAAAATGGTTCTTCTATGGCATCACTGCGAAAAGGTTCTTTTGGAACCTTTATTTTTAAGAGTGCATTTGTCAGACAATCCAGATAGTCCCACCTCCAAACTCATGCCAATGGTTAAGTCAATGTTGCTGTGTCGGGCTGGTTGTTTTGATAATAGTGTTAAGACTTTTCAGGTGAATCAACATGTGAATGAGCTAATTATAGTGTATCTGCATACAGTATTTTAAATATTTCACCTTTACGCTTATTGTAGAGTATCTCGGGGGAGCTTGTAATCTCTGTATTTCCTCTGCTGAGGTCAGAATTGTCTCGATCTCCCAGCGGACTTCTGATAGAAAGGGGAATCATGTTAATTGCTGGAGACCCCCTCTGGACAATCATTAACTTTAAACCATCAGTCATTAAATATCACAGCTTCTCTTCAAAAGATGTCAGTGTGCATGCAGGTAGACCTTGATGTTTATGTGGACCTAAAGCTAAATGAATGACTTTGTTAATTGTAAAGCCATTCTTGCATGAACTGTTGCATTGAAGTCACAATATAGCCACAATGATTCTGCTGACAATTTAAAGTTATGCAACATTGTGACTTAGCCAGTTAGGTTTCCTAAAGTGTGTGCCATTAGACTACTTTCTAATTTCCCAACTCGCACATTGTGGGAGCTTTCAGATGTTTTTCAGTAGCAAAAATGACATCAGAGTACATTTGATTAATTTCCATTATTTATTTCAAACTGTCCATGTCAGTGATTAAAATTCTGATTAAATTTACATTGACAAAAAGCATGTGATCATCTTATTTAGCCTCTTTGTGGCATTTTTAAAATGCTAAAATATTTAGCAAAATATTTTACTATGGAATGCTAACTTGCTGTGTATAAATGAATATTTTAGTTTTTACATTTAAATGTTTTAAATCTCCTTAGTTATCTAATTTCCTTCCGTTTGATCAAAATGATGGGAAAAAAAGAGAAAACTTTAGAGCAAATACATAAATAATATGTAGGTATACTACTATTCAAAAGTGTTGGGGTCAGTAAGATTCCTAAGATTCTTTAAGATCTTTTAAAGAAATTAATACTTTAGTAATGCTAAGGATTTATTAAATTGATCAAAATAAGAGTAAGATAAGAGTATAGTAATTTGTATTGTTCAGATTAGAACATTTCTATTTCTTAAGAACATTAGAACATTTCTATTTCAAATAAATTATGTTATTTTGAACTATTTATTTATTAAAGAAACTGGAAAAAGTCATGGTTTCCACAAAAATATTAACCAGTACAACACATCACATCAGCATATTAGAATGATTTCTGAAGGATCATGTGATACTGAAGACTGGGGTAATGATGCTGAAAATTCAGCTTTACATCACAGGAATAAATTACATGTTTAAATGTATTATAATAGAGCACAGTTGTTTTAAATTGATATAATATTTCACAATGTTACTTTTTTTACTGATCAAATAAATGCAAGAGACTTCTTTCAAAAACATCTTACTGACCGCAAACCTTTGAATGCTAGTATATACATTAAAGGGGTCATATGATGCGATTTCAATTTTTCCTTTCTCTTTGGAGTGTTACAAGCTCTTGGTGCATAAAGAAGATATGTAAAGTTGCAAAGACTAAAGTCTCAAATCCAAAGAGATATTCTTTATAAAACTTAAGAGTTAACCACGCCTACCTAAAACGGCTCGTTCTAACACACCCCCACATACCTACGTCACTATGTGGGAAGATTTGCATAACACCGCCCAAATGTTCACACAAAGAAAGAAGGAGTAACTTTTATTCTCGCTGTAATATTGAAAAGTGAAAAGTGAAAAAGTGAAAAGTGACGTGACATGTGGCCAAGTATGGTGACCCATACTCGGAATTAGTGCTCTGCATTTATCCCATCCAAAGTGCACACACACAGCAGTGAACACACACACAC